GGTGTTGATGGGTTTGAACTTCTCTGTACGTCCATTTCACCCACTGAACTATTATTATTCATCAATGGAAACTCTGCATTCTATGACCCCTTTAAAACAATACTTCTACCAATTGACTCTCATTGTTTATCGTTGCAGCCTGGCCAATTTAAAATATCTCACAGTCTCGTGCATCAGATTCCACAATAAGCAAGGTGGTTAAAACCTTTTTAAAAGAACAAAAACCTGTTAAGTGAAAAGCATCGTACTTAGAAGCAGCTTTTGAGGTTTTGGGCAAATCTGTCTGTAGGAGTGAGATGAAACGAGCAGCAGCAGCAGCAGCAGCAGCAGCAGCAGCAGCAGAGAGCCATAGAGCAGTGCTGAGTGGTTGTGTAAGAAATGAAAGAGTTTGTTGCTGTTCTTTGTGTTGCAGCTCAGCAGGAAGAAGCCTCCAGATATCAGCTGCATAGATCTGCTGGGTAACACTCCGCTGCACTGTGCCGCCTACCGAGGCCAGAGGCTGTGCGCCCTCAAGCTGCTCAGGAGCGGCGCTGACCCCAACGCCATGAACAAAAACGGTGCGTCTGCCAACGCCTGCAAAGAGCTAGGAAGTACCCATGAAAGGAAAACTAAAAATCAAACTTTTAAAGTTTCCAGTTTTGATGTATGCTCAGTTAGTTCCTCCACTGAGTTGGTTTTATTCTGCAAAGTTAAATTCAAGCAGATTCATTAAGCGTTGATTTTAAAATCAACATAAAGAGGCTCCTGATGGCTTTCATGGCGCCTCTTTACAGCAGCCTGTCATTGTGCTCCTTGGCAGCCATGGTTACGATGTAGCTAATCACAATAAATGACTGAGCCATTAACACCAGTGTGATGCTAACCTTTCACACTGTACACCAGCGTTAGATGAATTCAACCCTGAGAAGTGTTCAATTGCAGCTATTAGGAGTGTTTTTCAGTGTTAATTGTTTAACAAAAGTCTTTTTTAAACACATTTTAGTGTGGATCAATATGGACTCTCTAAAAGTGTTGAATTTAACTCCCTACAAGTTGAATTAAACTAATAATTGATAATTAAATAATAATTGAACTTTATTGATGTCATGACATTGGATAAATTAACTCTGTATTTAACCCCTCCCCTTTGGGAGCAGTGGGCTGCCACTGTGCGGCGCCCAGGGAGCAGTGTGGGGTTAAGGGTCCTGCTCAGGGACCCAGAGTGGAGGCTGTGGGGATGGAACTGGAAAGCTCTAACCCACTAGGCCAGGGGTTGGAAACCCCCCCCCCCACCCCCACCCCTTGTGGCTCCTTGGAGCTTTTTAAAAAAAATGTATGAAATAAGCTTTTTTTGTTTGTTTATTTTAATATGGTGTGCAGGAGATCAAACATTCATTATGTTTTCCAGTGTTGGAAACATTTGTATAATAAATACATTTAAACAATAAAAGTAAACATTTCTTTCAACGAAAGTTTGCATCACAGTCATCAGTGATGGGACTAACGGCGTTGAAAGTAACTCCCTTAACTTTCTTTAGTAACTAGTAATCTAACTAATTACTTTGACTGTAACTATAACGCAGTTACCATGCCGACACCCCGTTACTGCGCGTTACTCAGGTCGCACAATGAACCTTTTTTCATGCTAGGACTCGTGCGCGCCTTGTCATGAGAGAGGGGAGGATGAGGATGGCTGATGTATAGTGAGATTCCGTCTGTCAGTTGGGTAGGTGGGTGTCTCTGCTGGTGGGTGTTAACGTACAGCACACACAGAGAGATGGAGAGTCAGGAGGACTCCTGCAGCAAAACAGCGTTTTCCACATGGAAATACCAGTGTTACGTCGAGCTGCGTTTCCCCATCAGATACGGTTTCCTCTGCATCTCCGCACAGCGCAGGCGGCACGATTCACCGCGCAAGCGACAGGAAACGCACATGATCGCTAAAGACGCGTAACAGTCGCCCTGTGCTCGCGCCACTGGGGAACTATGGAGAGCGTGAACGATGAAATGATAGCCTATATGGAGAAAGGGAGAAGTCTGTCTGTCTGTCTGTCTGTCTGTCTGTCTGTCTGTCTGTCTGTCTGTCTGTCTGTCTGACTGACTGACTGACTGACTGACTGACTGACAGACAGACAGACAGACAGACAGACAACCCAAACACACAGGATTTCAGAATTAAACATCCCCAGTTATTACGGTAATTTCATTCACTCACCAGATCTGAACGCCCTGTTAAAACACTACCATCCATGAGTAGAGGTAATGCAGCCTGATGATATTTCCACCGCATCAGATAGCGTTCCCCCCATGTTAAGCAGGGGGAACGCTATCTGACGGGGTTTATAGGCCGTCACATAGCGTTCCTCCCTGATGTCATTTACGTTGAGTTGCAATAAATGCTAAACTCTCTGCAGGTTCTTGTCTTTGTCGTCCGCTCTATTCAGCTGGCTTTGGAAACACACGGCGAGAAGGTGGGGGCTGGGTGGTGGGGGTTACGGGGGCGAGAAACGCAAAAGTAACGCAATAGTTACTTTTACTAGTAACTAGTTACTTTTATTGTGGAGTAACTCAGTTAGTAACTCAGTTACTTTTTGGGAGAAGTAACTAGTAACTATAACTAATTACTTTTCCAAAGTAACGTGCCCAACACTGGCTGCCATAGAGATCAGTGGTCTCAGCCTGCAGCGGGTTTCAGCGCAGCGCCAGGCAGGCAGGCAGGCTGGCAGGCAGGCAGGCAGGCTGGCAGGCAGGCAGGCAGGCTGGCAGGCAGGCTGGCAGGCAGGCAGGCAGGCAGGCAGGTGGCTGCTGTAAACAAAGCGGTGGGTGTGTCTCAGGCCATAGAGGCCAAAGGGGAAAAAAGGAAGATAGCTGATGAGAAAAAAGGATTCAAAGAATGGAGCGAATCATTTGCTTTCATTACCAATGAGGAAGGATCGCCTGCATGTTTGCTTTGGAAGGAGAAAATGTCAAATAATGAAGTCATTAGGAAAGGCATTTCCAGGGAAGGCTGCTGAATATGCAGCCCACCACCAAGCTGGGAGGGAGAGAAAGGGCAGAACTTCTGGATGAATTAGAAGAGAGCAAAGATAGATCTAAGAAGTGGATTGCATCTCCAAACTCCACTACTGCTGCTAGTTTGGTTGCAAGCATAGAAAACCGTTCATAGATCCAACAGGTAGAGCTCTGGTGCAGCGATGGGAACTTTCTTTAATTTTTTTCCCCAAATCCTCAAAATAAAGATACGACCAAGGAACGCTGGTGATGGAGGATGTGGGATTTCAGGGTTAGAGAGCTCTGCTCTGATGATGTCACTTCCTGTTTGGTTCCTCATGACTCCATCAGCTCCTCCCAACAGAAACACGTCCACCAGAAAGATTCCTTTATCCTGTTTCTATCATTTCATCAATGCAGCAGAACCTAAACCACGTGGTGAAGCGGCACGCGATGGGAGCGTTCACTGCTCCTCCCTCACATCATGCTGCTATGTGACCTTTGCTCCAGAATAAACATTTAATCATGAATGATTATTAGATATTTAAGCCCATTTTTTACAGTGGGCTAATACATTTAGAGCCGTGTTGCCATACGAGGCTGATAGAAGACTTTTTTGAGGCTCCAGAATTTTTTTGTTGTTGTTGTTTTTGGTCCAATTTGGCTCTTTGAGTGTTTTGGGTTTCTGACCCCTGATTTGGACCAACACTCTCATGTTGCCTCATGTTGCTTATTTTCCAGCTTTAATCTGAGATTTTCTCTACATACTGAAACTATTTACGTCCAGAGAGAAATGACGGCCATTTTGTTGTGAGGCTAGAATTGTTGCACATTTCAGGTCCTTATTCTCATCCTTTACCCTCCATAGTAACCATTATTAAAATAACTATCTTAAGAGCTGAGATTTCCCTCGATGCACCGGTTTTAGATAAAACCTTGACGTTTCCATTGCTTGCAGCTACATTTAAAGCCCCTCCTGTTTTTGTGCATGCGTTCTGTGGTGATAAATCTCTTCCGTTCTCTAACCTGCAGGGCAGACGGTGTTTGACCTGGCCAGCGATGCAACAATGAAGCAGTGTCTTGAAAGCAACGTTCATCGAGTGAGTGTTCAGCACATGCTCAGCTTCCTAACGCTTCACTGATTTGTTTTATGATGTGTTTTCTACTCCCTAAATGTTTGTCATATGCAGGGTTTGACCCGTCATGTCAAAAAGTATGAAGGACTCCTCTGGAAGGTAAAGTCCAAGATTTATTTCTTTTTTTGTCCAGTGGGTCAGAGAAGCAATTCCTCCTATTAGTTACTCTCTATCTGCAGGCATATTGCTGTGCCAGAGAGTTCATGTGGAAACACATTTCTCAGTTTGTCTCTTTAATCCTGTGGTTTCTAACAGCAGCTTTAAAATTAGAATTATTTACAATTTAGAAAACAAGCTTGTATTTAAAAAGCTGCTTTTTTATTTATCTTTCATTTTGAAAAATTGAGTTTGGGATTTTTTTTTTTTTTACCATCTAGAAAATTGCATAGATCTGTATGGTTTCTCAGTAATGTGACGCGTCAACTGACCTCCATTTTAATCATAATGCCAAAACCTTGAACAGCCTCTGAGAGTTACTCTGGTTTTCATTTCCATCATACTGAAAAATAATATAAGCAACAA